TCGAAGATGTTGTTTCAAAGACCTACGAATGAACTCTTAAGCTAAAGAAGAACAACTGAAACATGTTTCTAATTGTGCTTCCAAAACACCAAATAGCATCCAAAAGAAACCTCAGTCACGAGTATCATGGAGAAACTCGAAATTAATGCATCAAATACACTAGAGCCAGTGGATTCAAGGTCGAGGTTCAAACCTAGAGCAACAAGATTTTCTCCAGCAACATCAAATCCAATCGGATCAATACTAATCTGCAAAAATAAAATAAAAGAATCTATGAACATAATCTCGAAATTAAAACAAAGAGATTCCATTTCGAATCAAAAAAAACAAAAAAATAAACGGATCGAGAAGAACATGTACCATTCCACGACGACCCAGCTTAGATCCTTCTGATTTCTCCTTCTCATTATTAGCAATTCCCAAATCCTAGTTTACCGGATAAAAAGCGTTAACATCATTGAATCGATTCAATATATATCATCTACGAGCAAAGAGGTACGTGCGCAGAGATGGCAGAAAGAAAGATGAAGACGAAGATGGTGGCGACGAGAAGTAGGCGGGGTGATGAAACCCGGACCCATGAGTGGATGCGAGATGTGTTTCAGAGAGGAAGAAGATAAACCCGTCTCAATTTCAATAAAGCATTGGAAGAATCAAGCCAAAGAAGCAGATGTGAAACAAGTATGCAGATTTGAATGCAGTAACTGTAAAGGAGTCTTTTCAAATTTGAAAGAAAATAGAAAATTTGGGAAAAATAATCGAAGAACTCTCTTGATAAGAAAAAGAAATTGAAGAACTCTTTTTAGATCTTGAAGACAAACCCTCCATCGATCTGAGTCGTTCCCTTTCAATGAAGTTGGACGACTGAGATCACATCTACTACAAAAACACCACTTCTATCTAAGTCGTTCGATTTAAATGATTTTGGACGGTTTATATTGTATAGGAAGTAAACATATGTTTCCTCTCTTTAGAGAGACAAATTCATCCGAAAAATCTCGACTTTTGTGCAAAAGTCCATCTCCATTGCAAAGTGCCTTTGTTTGTAAACTATGTTTGAGAAAGTACTTTTAAATGTAATTTCCCCGGAATAAAGCTGGAGTTACACATATGTGTGTGATTCGCCTTACTTTCTTATCTTAATTTATTGTTTGTTTTTAAAAATATTTAACGTCATTTATGGTTTGATAATTAAACTAAAATTAGCTGTAAAATATTTTTATATATTAGGTAAGGGTAGGCAAAATAACCGAACCGATCCGAAAAAACTGTAATTATGAGTTTTTGAATCGGTTTCGGTTTAGTTACTATTTTAAAAATGTTTTCGTTTCGGTTCGGTTAAAAACCGTAAAACCATTTAATTTTTCGGGTTTTGAAATTAGTTTTATAATATTAGTTTTGTTAAATTTGTTTAGCTAGTTATATGAAAAAGACGAATATTAAAAACTAGATTATAAAGAGACTTTTGCCCTCTCCTCGAAGTAGTTTTTTTATAATTTTGATCTATTTTAATATTTTTTAGGGAAATTGGGTTGTATAACCATAAAAAAAATTATATTTCAAAACTTAACCAAAATTTCCTATATAGCAAGATCCTAACCATTAAATCTAGGGATATTTTTAGGTTTTGAAATATAATTTTCTTTTGATTATACAACTAATTGGCCCTATTTTTTATCTGTAATTTATGTTGCAAAATTTTTTTTGGGGTAAAATTATGGAACAAACCAGAAGAATCTGAAACCAAACTCTATTGAAGCACAAATGGATTTTATGTGGTTTGAGTTTTTAAAAAATCGAAGAAACCGAACCGTAACCGAACCAAAATACAAATGGTTTTTATATAGTTTAAATTTTTCTAAACCTGGGAAATCCGAAGTAACTGAACCGTAATTGAACCGAAAACCGAAACGTCCACCTCTATTTAGAGGTGTTAAAAATGTTCTAAGTAAAATGAAAAAGCGTTAAGAAGTTTTAACCGGAAAAATCGGGTTTAGAAAAAAACTTTTAGAATACAAAATTAAAAGTGATTGATTTATATAATCTCCATAAGAAATAACGAAATATTACAAAATCATCAGATTCTTCATTAACAAACATAAATGCGAGATTCGTAACGTTGCAATGGCATCAAATATCTTTTTAATATTTATTTTGTATATGGATTACATGTTTTCGATTCTAAAATACGT